CGAGGGTGCCCCCGGGGGTGCCCAATGTCCTCCCGCGCGGCCGCCGGGGGGACCTATAGGCGTGGCCCTCCGGGGAAGCACGGGCTCGCCACCGGGCGGCGCGCCCGGGGCGGGAAAGCACAGGGGGGGCGGTCCGGGGGCCCTCTCCCCCCTCGGAGGTCCGCGCAGAGCTCCGAGGAAATCAGGTCGACGCATCGTTCGTTTGTGCTTTTCGACCGCTCCCCCCTCCTCCCCCCCTCCTCCCCCTCCTCGCTCCCCAGCGCAGAGCTCCGAGAGATTGGGTTTGCGTAGTTGCTGTTGTCTTCTTCGGCCCTCCCCTCCCCCCCCCCCCTCTTCCCCTCCTCGCACCCCCTCCACCCCCCTTCCTCCTCGCCCCTCGACCCTCCCCCTCGACCCCTCGACCCTCCCCCTCCTCCTCGCCCCTCGACCCTCCCTCCTCCTCGCCCCTCGACCCCCCCCTCCCCCTCCCCCCCCCTCCCCTCCCCCCTTTCCCCACCCTCGGGCAGGGGGCTGGATCAGGATTTGAAGGGGCAGGCGAGGTGGGAGGTGGCGAGAGGCAGGCGGCGCCCTTCCGAGGAGAGAGCTCCTGGGAGGGCGAGGAGGGGGAGGAGGAAGGGGAGGATTGGATTGGACACTTCGGGGGGACAAGGCTGAGCCTTCCAGCAACGAAGGTTAGAGGGATACCCTGCACCGCTCCGCGGCACAGGGTCCCCCTCCAACCAACATGCCAGAAAGCACAACCTCCGAGCCAAGGGACGCCACGCATGGTCTCAGCATAACGCCCAAGAGACGGCGAGCTCGAGGCCGTGAGTGCGACGGTGAGGACGAGGATGGGGAGAGGAGAGGGCGACGGTGGTGGAGGGGGAAGGCGGGGGAGATGAAGAAGAGACGAGCGGAGATAGAAGGGAGAAGGGGAGAGGAAGGGACGGGAGGAAGGGAAGGCCTTCCGCCGCCTTCCGCCGACCTTCCGCCGTCCGACCCGCCGCCGTCCTGTTTCCGCCAGCTTCCGCCAGACTCCGGCCGCCTTCCGCCAGATCCAAGGAGCGCCCGAAGGCAACTCCTTTTTTCTGGAGCGCGCGCGCGCCGCGGGTCCCCGTCCTGCCCTGGCCAGCCACCGACGTCGTGAGTTTCGTCGCAGCGTGGCTCCCTAGAGGCATGGACCCCTTCCCGGGGACTGGGTCTTCATCCCGCGTAGTTCTTGACGGTCCCAGGGGTCCCAGATGCCGGCCATTGCCAGCGCTTCCCGTCGTGCCTACACGACGCGAGGACGTCGGGGGAGGGCTGCCTGACAAGGGCGAGGGCGGGAGAAACGTACGGTCGGACCTAAGATATAATCACATCCTTCAAGATCATGAGACCTTCCGCCCGCCAAAACACACCAAATCATAAGATCACCGAGGGTAGCCTCCCCCGGGATGCACAATAACATCCAACACGCACGAGGAACAGTGGGGCACCCTCTCCGAATCGACCTCGATCTTATACCTGTACGACCATCCTTCGGGTGATACGGAGCTTGGGGAGAGAACCAGCTGCTGGCAAATGCGATGGGTGTGATGATGACGGTTCTGGTGACGCGCCCTCGAGTTGGCGACGACGCTTGATGACGCTGCCATGTAATGCCACTGTATCTCACAGCGAATGACACAGCCAATATCTCACTGCCGATCTCTCTTGTGAGATCACTATCCATCCCATTCTAGTGATCTCATTCTCGACCTCACTATCGATCCGAAGGCGGGACACCCCCGGCCACCGCCCGCCCACCGCCGACGGAACGCCGACGGGACACCAACGGGTCACCACAGGACACCACGGCGGGACACCCCGGGCCACCGCGCGCCCGCCGGGGGCAGAGGGGCGGTCCGCTGCATCCGAATCGCCCTGGCGACGGCGGGGTCATTCCTCTCACGCGCTCACGCGCTCGCCCGCACGCACGACGCGAACCCGACCTCACCCCCCAGCATCAGACCTCCGATCCACTGCGATCTCACCCCCCGACCTCAGACCTCGGTCCGACCGTAGAGGCAGCATGGCAGGCAGGGGGCGCCGTGTAGGAAGCTGCAGACGGCGACGCCGCGAGCACCGAAGGGGCTCGAGAGGCGTGGCCGATCACCAGCACGGGCGCGCCAGGAGAAGGGGGCCCCAAAGAGGACGAGCAGATTTGGCAAGGCTTCGGGCTGCGCGCCGGCAGGCCCCTCCCGGCAGCCCCCAGCTGGCCTCATCAGGGCCTGAGCAGTCCTGGCTGGCCTCATCAGGCCCCCCGAGGAGCCCAGGACGGTCTCAACATACTGGCACCGCCTCCACCGGCGCCCCTGGTGCCCTCCGCGCCCCAGGAGCGCACGTTTACATTCGCGGCCATAACGGGCGTTAGGGGGGGGCGGGGAGGGGCATCACATAACGCCCCCCCTCTCGCCGTGTGGCTCCGGCACCATAGCGCCTGCACACATCACAGCAGGCAACGCAGTGCGCAGCACGGTGTGCGCCGCCGCCGCAGTCACGTGCACCACATCGCCTACGTACTGCGCAGCGCATACGTGCAGCACCAATGTTTTTCCCCCGCACCCCCTTTCGAACATTACTCTGTGCAGGTGTTTGATCGACGACGAGGGCGCCAGAGCGCTGCACGACGACGACGACATCACCGACGACGACGACGAAGACGACGACGACGAAGACGACGAAGGCGACGACGAAAACGACGACGCCGACGTCGACGCCGACGCCGACCCCGACGCCGAGGACGACGCCGACGCCCACCCCGACACCGACGCCGACGCCGTCGACGCCGACGCCGACGCCGAGGACGACGCCGACGCCGACGACGAGAACGACGAGAACGACGAGAACGACGACGACGAGAACGAGGGGGACGACAGGGACGGGGACGGGCACGGGGACGGTGCGGGGACGGGGACGGGGACGGGGACGGGGACGACGACGACGAGGACGAGAGGACGACGAGGAAGACGGACGCCTCTGAAGCTCTTTGGAGGTCCCTGGAGGCCCAAAAAGGTTTCCAGAGACCTCTGGAGGCGTCTGGAGGCACTTCGAGGCCCTCGGCGACGACGAGGACGAGGGCGAAGACGAGGACGACGACGAGGACGACGAGGACGACGACGACGAGGACGACAGGGACGAGAGGGACGAGAGGAGGACGGGGACGAGGACGACAATGACGACGAGGACGAGGACGAGGACAAGGACGATGACGAGCAAGAGGACGATGAGGACGACGACGACGACGACGACGACGGCCGCCTCTGGAAGCGTCTGGAGACACTTCGAGGCCCCAGTAGACGACGACGAGGACGAGGACGAGGACGAAGATGAGGACGAAGACGACGACGACCACGACGACGTCGATGACGACGACGATGACGACGACGACGACGACCACGACGACCACGACGACTAAAGCGACGACGACGACGACGACGACGTTGACGACGACAACGACGACGAGGACGAGGACGACGGCCGCCTCTGAAGATCTCTTGAGGTCTCTGGAGACCTCAGGAGGCGTCTGGAGGCCCTTCGAGGCCCTCGGCGACGACGACGGCGACGACGTGGACGACGAACGCCACGAGGACGAGGAGGACGAGGAGGACGACAACGACAGGGACGAGGACGAGGACGGGGACGAGGACGACGATGACGGCGATTAAAGCGACGACGACGACGCACCACAGTAGCCGTCGAGCATGTCAATGCCAGTGCCAGGGGCGCAAGACGGGGGGGGAGGGGGGGGGGGATCACGCGCGTTGTGGCCCCGAGGCTTCAAAACACACGCTCCGCCTGGCCTCAACAGGCCCGCTGAGAAGCCCAGCGCGGTCTCCTCGCCCCAGCCCTGGGGCGCGGAGCGCCCCACTGGAGCGCCGCAGGAGGCGGCGCCGGGGCGTCGAAGACGCCCCCAGACTGCGCAGGGGTCCTGCTGAGGCGAGGCGGATTTGGGGGGTCGTCCGTGCGCAGCCCGAAGCCTTACCCGGAAGGCTGCCGAGCACGCTCTGGCGCGCTTGCGTCGATTTCGGTGGCCTGCAGCGTCGAACGCTCTGGGCGTGCCCGCTCGTCTTCTATTCCTCCGCGGCCGCCCTCCTTGTTTTCCACTTGCCTCGGGGCTCAAATCGCGCTTCCGCGTCCAGGTTGTTGCTACGAGCGCCTCGTGTCCCACGTGGCTGCCGTCAAAACATGTTGGACGTGATAACTACAGGTTCGGCACGTTTCTAGAGTTGCTCTGGACGACGAGCGGCCTGGCTGAGGGCAGTCAGGGCTCGGAAGTTGTCGGGGTACTTTCGTCAAGGTTCCATTGAGTTTCAGGCGGTCTCCAAGGATCCTCGACGAGGAGACGGAGGACGCGGAGGCAGAAGATGAGGAGGAAAAGGAGGAGCAAAGACGATAATATGGATGAAGGAGAAGATGTAGGAGGAGGGTGTATGAAGGAGGGGAGAAGAGGAGAAGGAGAAGCAGAAGGAGAAGGGATTATGAAGATGATTGAGAGGGTGAGAGAGAGAGAGAGAGAGAAACAAAAAAAAAAGAAATAGAGAGAGAGAGAGCAAGAGGAGGTGAGGGAGGGGGATAGCAAGAGGAGGTGCCAGCGGCGTGACCAAACATTGTCCATGCCATCAACTCTTGGCCCCCGGACTGTTCGCCACTTTAGCTTGGAGGTCCTTCTTTGATCAAATGCCCCGCCACCACCCCCAACCCGTGCCACCCCTGCACACACCACTCACACAAACACCACACACCACTCACACACTACACACTAAAATGCACACATCACAACACAACACGGCCCGGTACACTCACGACACACACACAACCCACCACACACCACACACCACACACCACACACCACACACACACACACTCACACTACCCCTTATATCCCACCATTCCTCCTTCCCGCGTCCTCGCTAGTCCCTTGCCACACATACTCGCTCTCTCTCTCTCTCTCTCTCACACACACACCAGGGCGCACCCCCTATGGCCGCTTGCATCTCCGCTTCACCAGGCTGTCCCCAATGGCCCCGTCTTATTTCTAAGCGTTGGAACCTCCTCCCCCTGGGGGGGTTCACTTCGAACTCGACGGCAGCGTGCGCAGGAGAGGGAAAGTGGCTGTTGGGAAAGTTGAGAAGTGTCGCGTGGCAACAAGAGCAGGAGAAATAGAACGTCGCGCCATCGGACGCTCGGAAAACACATTGATTATCGTCCGAATGCGCTTCCCTGGGAAGTTGTCCAGGTCGACATCTGGCATTCAATTCGAGGTGCGTGCGTCCCGTCAGCAGATGCAGGACAGGTCAGTCAGAGCGGATGGCCGCTGCCGCTGTACACTCGACGAGTGCGAACCCCACTAAAGTATAGCAGAGACTAGGTGAGTCTCACGCATTCGCGCGCGCTAGAAGGAAGCCTCATACGTATGCGGAACGCATGCCTCACGCAGACGCGCGTGCGACAGGCAGGCCTCAGAGCACGGCTCTGGCAGAGAATATGGGTATTAGAGCAAGCCTCACGCATACACCGGTAAACTCGCCTGCGATGCGTGGCTGGTCGGCAGACCCATCGTCTGGGCTGCTCCGTGCTCGCCAGACGGAAGACAACAACCACCTCCAACCCGCGATGGTTCCGTTCGCAGCGGGCTCGGGATTCTATCCCGGGCCACCTGCGCAGGTATTAAGGCGCAAAGCCCAGAGCACACATGAGGTGCAGGTCACCCCACGCGAATGACCACATGTGTCCCCTTGGGCTGACTGCCTTGCTCGAGATGGAGACATGGCTCGAGCTGCGCTGACGGCAGCGCTGGTGCTAGTACACATCCTACCCTCGTGGCAAGCCGGAGTCGGGTCAGGCAAAAGAGGGGCGACCCATTCGGCGGAGAGGTGCGGTGGAGAAGCAGTAGACACATACGATGGGCACCCGTAATAAACCTTGCTAAACGCACGTCCTGGTTTCCTGACCTTTACAAGGTGGCCCCGAGGGGCCTCTGCCGATCCGAGGAGCCATCGCGAGGCCAGAAGCATCCGTGTGGGCACCTGATGGCACGCAGGCCTCCTGCTTGGTGTGGCTACCGCAAGTCGCCAGCGGCGAAGACACACACACACAGATGCGCGTCCTCGCAGCCTGGATTCCGGAGCCCGCACGGATCCTTCCCGCGCGGCACATGCGCGACAGAAACGCCCCCTATCCACGGAGTCGCGGCCAAGGGCCCGGGCCGCGGGGCCGCGGATACGGATACGACATGCTTTCGCCCACGACGAAGCCCAGACTCCCGACGTCGCGATTTGTTCACAGCGTGGACCCCCGAAGCTCTCGACCCACTCCCCGGGACCAAGTCTTCATCCCGAGTCGTTCTCTGACGGTCCGGGGACCCAGCGAGGGCCCCCACAGGCAGAACATCGCAGAACAAAACAAACATCGTCGGGGTTGTTGATCGACAGAAACCTCGGCGCCGCGAGCACGAGCAGCACTCGCGCCTCTTCCGCTGCCTCCGGGTCTGGTGCCCGTCTTTTCGGCCCCTGGGGCAGCCATGGACAGGCCCGCGGCAGAGGTGGACCCCAGGGATAGGGTTGGACGCTCCCAGGCCCTCAGCCGAAGAAAAAGTCACGGCGCCTGAGGTTTCGGATCGGGGAGGTGTGGGGAGGAAGATAGGAGAGGGATAGGGAGGGGAGAAGCCCTGGCATCCTCGAGTCGCGAACACATCACGACGAGAGGTTTTTGAGACAATGTTCGGCCTCCACGGGGCCCTCGCCGGGCTCCGGGACCGTCAAAAATCGTCTCAGGACGGAGCGCTGGTCATCAGGAAACGGTTCAGACCTCTGGGGGGGCACGTTTTGAAAAAAACACGAACGTCGGAAGTCTGGGGAGGAGGGAGGGGGTGCAGAGGGAACAGGACGTGCAGTCAAGCGGCAATTGACGACCTCCACAGCTGGGTCTAGGAGTGAAGCCCCGATCCGAAGCAGCCTGCGAAAAAAGGTACTCTAACCGCCGCAGGGAGCGCTGCCATTGGGTTCCAGCTGTGGTGGTGGACAAAAGCTTCTTGACGAATTGAGGAGCAGGAGGACGGTAAGGTCGGGAGGTGGAGAAAGGACTCTCGGGGCCTTTGCATGGGGGCCGCGGTGGCCGCCCGCGCCGCTGACACTGTAGAAAAGGGGTGCTTGCCTGTGGGAAGCAGGGCGGCACAAAGGACCTGGCTTAAAAACTAGCGGCGTCTTGCCATCTAGCCCAGAAGGGATTGAGGCCTGCCAGAGAAGAGGCGAAGTGAGGGGGACTCCGAGCAGCTGCAACTGGGGAGGGACGGTGTCCCTTGCCCCCCTGGGGTGGCCCATCGTCACCAGAACCACGCGGTAACAGAGGCTGACCTGCAGTCAAGTGTCGGCCCCCTGGTGAGCATACTTTCGGAAAGAATTGGGAATCGGAGCGCGGGCAAAAGTCAATTACGACATGAAGTAAGCAAAGTGATAGAAACACGTAAGACGATAACATCAGTGAACAAGAACGTAGAGTCCGCCCACCCCCGCTTGCCGGTGGTAACAAGGCGTGTGAGATGTGTGGCAATCCCCTCCCCTCTTTCCCCCTCCCCAAGTGTACAACATCCCGTCAGAGGGGGGGGGTCTCCACGAGCTCGTCCACGGCCCCTCAGGCCTCCAGAGACTACCATAACTGCCGACAGGGCCGCAACAAAAAACAGTGGCCCCGATGATCCCAAGAGCCCTTCCTGGAGCTCCGCTGGGAGTATCTTGGGACGTCTCGGAGGGCCTCGAGACTGGCCCAAGGGGCAAACGTTCTCTCATGCTCGGCCTGTTGATTTGCCCATACTCGGTCTATACCTGCGGCTCCAAGAGGGACCCGTTGAGCCCCGAGAAGCTTCCAAGAAGCACCCACAGACTCCACCGATGCCCCCGAGCGGTTTTCCAAGAGCCCAAGGGGCCTCGTCCACGACGGCCTGGGCACCGTGACGGGATAGGCAGAAGGCCTCTTGATGTTTGCTGGCCCCGCATCTCTCAAAAGTCACCCTGCAAAACAGCGGCGAGCCAACCATGATAACTCCACGGCCGTCGGACCCACACCAAGATCAGCCACTCCAGCTCCCACCTGAACCTTGCGATAGACGTGTGTGTCTCTTATCCTAGTTTGTTATTGTGTGTGCATATGTGTGTCTGTGTGTGTGTTTGTGTGTTTCTCTGTATGTGATTGTGTGCGAGTGCGAGTGTGTGTGTGTGTGTTGTGCTGTGCTGTGCTGTGCTGAGCTGAGTTGTGCTGTGCTGTGTTGTGTTGTGTTGCGTGTGTGACGCGTGGTGTGAGCGAGAGGAGAGTGTGTGTGTGTATGTGTTGTGCTGTTTGGCGCAACCTGTCCCCCCCCTCCAGCGCAGAGTGCGCCCACGACTGCTCACGAGGTGGCATGGGCGGGAAACGTAGAGCAACCTCGCACGGGGCGCCAACGAGCGCCCACGAGGCGGCACGGGCGGCAACTTGGCGTAACCTTGCCCCCCCCCCCCACGGAGCACGAAGCGCCTACGAGCGCCCACGAGGCGACACGGGCGGCAACTTGGGGCAACCTCGGCAAACCCACCAGAGCACGGGGCGCCTACGAGCGCCCACGAGGCGGCCCGGCAGACTCCCAAGAGTACGGGGCGCCCACGAGCGCGCACGAGGCGGCACGGGCGTCAACGCGGCGAAAGCCCATAATACTCCACGCATGACTCAACAACGGAAAACAAGAACCCCCAGTGCAATCACTGCTTGTGAGATTAGCAGAATTTTGGAAAAACGTGAGCCGCACATACAAGATAGAGAGCCACAACCAACTATACTGCAGCATAACATGCACAACATGGCACACACCAGGACTGATGATCGCGCTGCGTAAGTACGGCGCTGCGCCACAAGTACCTGGCCACACACACACACACATGCATATAGGTATATGTATGTGTACATGCATGTGTATGTATGTATGTGTATACCGCCAGTGTGCCCTCAAGCACGACTTGGAGTGACCTCAGACCCTTGGCCTAATCCCGTAAGCCTGTCCTCCATCCTGAGGATTCTGTAAGGGACCAGGGCTCCAAATTGCCAACTGTTCTTGGGCTTGGCGCGTGGTTCTCGGAGCTCCCGACATCTTCCCGCGCGACTTTTCGGGTCCCAGTAGGCCCGAAGCTGAGCCAAGAGCGCCCCAAGAGACCCCCAAGATGCTCCAATGGGGCCCCGAGTCGCTGAAAGATCGCCCCCAGACAACCAAGATGGCCTCAAGAAGCCCCAAAGACGCCCCAGGAGTCCTCCAAGAGGGCCCCCTATGAGGACCTGAGGATCCCATAACCATGGATTTCACCATCCAGTGTCTGACAGATGTTGGCGGTCTCGCGTTTTCGGTTTGCCGACGCTCCAAGACGGCAAAAGAGGGCCCCAAGACGGCCCAAGAGGGCCCCAAGACGGCCCAAGAGGCGCCAGAGACGGCCCAAGAGGCCCCCAAGACAGCTCCAAGAGGAGGCCCAGATGGGGGACCCGACCGGACATCTTCGAACCCTCGGCCTGGAGGCCCCCAGGAGCGGCCCCCAAGAGGCCTCCAAGAGGCCCCCAGGAAGCCCCAAGAGGCTCTCAAGAGGCCCCAGAACTGCCCCCAAGAGACCCCCCGAGAGCGCTCCGCAGAGACCCCAAGACGCATCCCTAGAAGTTTGACCCACACCCAGCCACAACCCAGGCACGGTGGCGGGATCGGCCAAAGGCCGATGTACGATATAGCTGCATATGCACCAGGACACGTGCACACGACATAACATCAAGACCACGTCGTAGTACTTCAACACCAAACATGTGGGAGATCAGAAACCAAGCAACCATCGCTCACGCAAAAAACTATAGCAGGTGGGCTACACATATCGACTCACACGCAAATCAACAAGGGCCATGCACATATAGCTAATGCGCAGAATGCTAGCACAGCCTCACCAACTTGGACATGCCAGGCAGGACTTTACACCCACACGAGAACACAATGAGCAAGACATGAGCGTGTAAGGGCAATGGAGGGAGCACACATAACAGGCACAGCATATGCCTAAAAGAAAACGTCCTGAACTTGTATGGGCACTGTCAGGAATCCAAAAGGACCGTGCTATCCAACTGGGAGTAAGATCGGTATTTAAACACCATCGTAACAACTCATAATGCAGAACTGTGAATCCCACGGCAAACTTTTGCTTGCGAGGACCCTGGACTGTCTTGCACTCTGGGCACGTGAGCTGTGTGATTCGAGCTACGTGGTAGCATCTACGAGGTGTGACCTATCTGGTGCAAGCTGCGTGGTTCAACTGGCCATCGCTCGGACGTCCATTCCCTTTTTTTTTCTGTTTCGTGCGTGTTTTATTCGCCAACTGATGAAGGATGCTCCTCGATAGTCCTCGCCGAAGGAAAAATGCACACGTCCGAGCGATGCCAAGTCAAGTTATGTGGTGCAAGCGATGTGGTTGAAACTGTGTGGTGTTAGGCATGTTGTGAAACCAATGTGGTGCAAGCTACAGTCGGACTTCATTGGACAGGACACGCGAGAGGACACGAGACCCTTCCGAAGGCCACATCGCCATAGGAGTGTAAGAAGGCACGTGTCGCGAGGCACAAGACACAAAGGGTACCCTTGAGCTGGCAGGGTCGACCTACTAATCCGGGCCGACTGTATGTGGTATGAGCTATGTGGTGCAAGTTGCGTGGTGCAAGCTGCGTGGTGAACGCTATGTGTGACAAGCTATGCAGTGCAAGTTATGTGTAAGATATGTGGTGTAAGTCATGTGGTGCAAACCATGTGGCGAAAGCGATTCTCTGTTAGGTATGTGGTGCATGCTATGTAGTGCACGCTGTGTGGCGCCGACTAGGCGCCCACGGGCGCTGGCCCACAACGGGCAAGTACTACCCAGCACGGGGCTCCCACTGATGGGCACCGGGCGAAGACCTGGAATGCAATCAAAGTGCGTCAGATAGCGAAGAAGAACCGCTAAATGTAAGCAATATTTGGGGATTTGGGGAATGACTGTAGATGTACCGTAGAAGGGACATACAGGAGGAACATCACAGGAGCCACAGGGAACACGTATCCCCAGATCACTCCATGTCAAGCCCGCCCTCCGGCAGCGATACGTCGGCCCCCTCTCCGCGTCCACCCCAAGCAGTCAGTTCTACGTGTTGAAGGCGGGCGGAAAATCAGAGGGCTTAAGAGGGACGGGGGAGGAATGCATCGTCGCGAGGTCGGGGTATCGACGATCTCGCGAGGAGGGGCGTCGGAACCGATGCGTCCCTCATGGGGGGTAAGGACCACGGTCCGGAGACTGGCAGCGCCCGGGCGCGGAGCCGAGGGAGCGGCTCGAGAGGTGCAGCTGGTAACGGGGGCCAGGGGAAGGAGCTCAGCGGGACACAACAATTCTCGGAGCTCCGCGCGGGTTTCTTGGATCGGCGCTGGGACCCCCTCCATGATGCTTTTTTCGGAGATCGAAGTCGCACGATAACGTTGCAACGCCAGCCGTACTTCGAAGGACAGAAAACTGCGTAACCATAAACGTTCGTAGCTCCGCGCTGATTTCCTCGATCGGCGCTGGGCCCCCTTGGCGAGACCTCGGGCGCCTCCCTGGCGCGCTCCGCGCGCCACGGACGGGGCCCAGCGCTGGTCCAAGAAACCATCGTGAAGCCGCGAGAGGTTATGTTTATGCCGTTGTTAATCGTCGAGAGAGTGGGAGGCGACTCGGTCCTGCTCCTGCGCAGAGGCCCGGGGCAAAAGCTGGGGCGAGACTGACGCAGACGCCAACATCGGGGGTTGCTAGAGGTACCCCTGGCTGGCCCAAGGTGCCCCCAGCTTTTCGCTTCATTTTGGAGGCCCTGGGGCCCTCTGGGCCTCGCGAGGGGTGCTCTGGAGGCCGTGGGGGCCTCCTTGGAAACCCTGGGGGCACCTTGGGCCAGTGGCACTTCTAGCAACACCCGACAACAAGTTAGCCTTTCCCGATCCAACGCCGGGACAAGACTCTGACCGCTGTAGTAGGCACCGCAAGCTGCTGTCGCAATTCACCCCGCAGTCCACTATTGGCAGGTCACACGATTCACCCAGGCCGCAATCCTGCTCTTTCTCCCCCACCTCTCCCTGTCCTCAGCCTCACCCTTGGCCCTGAGGCTCCAACCAGCGCAGTGTAAGCGCACTCAGACGAACAGGAAACCAGCCCCAACAGAAGCTCTCCGGGGGTCCGCGTGGACTTCTCGGGTCGGCGTCGGACCCCCCTCTCCATGGCGCGCGGAGCGCCGCAAGGGCGGTCCTGGAGGTGCCGCGAGACGTGGGGGGGGGGTAGGCAACGCCGACCCCAGGAGTCTCCGCGGACCTCCTGAAACGTATGCACTGGTTGCTTCCTGTTCGTCGGAGCTTTCAGCCCCACTTCTCTTCCTCCTCCTCGTCCCCCTCCTTGTACCTGGGGCGCCGATCAACGAACTGTCTGCCTCCTCGGGGGGAGCGAACAGATACCGATACCGCTGCCCCCTGGACCCCCTCCTGGGGCGCAACCAAAGCGATGTTCTGAGGCGAATCTGGCCGTTGGTGCCGAGGTCTGCGAAGAGGGAGAAAGGAGGCGGAGGAGGAGGAGGAGGAGGAAGAGGAGGCGGAGGATCCTCAGAACTACTAGCGCTTGTACGGCGCAAGAGATGGAGTTGAGCGGGGTTAAGCCAAAATGGGCTAACAAAAACGTCCTGAAAATCATCGACAGGGGGAAGGTCCAGGAAGAGGGGGAGGAGGAGGAGAGGAGGAGGATGGGAAGAAAGAGGGTAGGGAAGGCGTGGATACATAGGTATGGGTATTGCGATTTCCTAGGCGACTCGGCAAGGAAGCATTATAAGTAACTCCGTTCGTGGTGGCTTCTAGTACAATGTGGGACAAGCCTTGCTAGTTGTTGGGCAGCAGAACGCCGACAAGGCTTGCAAAACCACGACCCAAGCCCCATGTTTTTTTTCAAGTTAAGAGGTTCGTGAACGACAGCCCCTCCCCCGCGATATGGGAGGTACGCCCAGGCGGAATCTTACCCACTACTAAATCCACATTCGTTACTTTGAAGAAACATGGTGAGCTCATCTAATCGCACCTCCTCGCGAATAGCGTCGGGCCACCGCGACGAAGGAGTTGGCGATGGCCTCCCACCCCAACCTCTGCTCGTACCGCCGACAGCGGACATGGGCTCGAGAGCGGACCCTCACCCAAATGCCGCGGCAACCTCGCCCTCGGACGAATGGCTGAGACTCCTCGCCGACGGGCGCCCCGACGCGGGCCCCGGTCTTCTGCGGGGGCCCCGGTCCGGAAGCGCTCATCCGCCTGCTCTGGCGCAGACGCTCTGGCGTCGCAATGGTAGCTCGCCCGATGGATGGGATGCCGGGGGGCGACCGCATGAAACCCGTGCGCGACGAGAGCTGGTCTCGGTGCTCTCGCTGCACCAGGTGCAAATGAGCGAGATCTGTTGATGGGCTCGGGTCCGTAAGCGAGCTCGCGGTCATAGGGCCCCCGTCGCGGCGGCCGGCAAACGGGCGACCAAGCGCCAACCTCGGCCTGCAGCCAACAGCTGCCATGCCCGAACAACCAGACTGCTCGGCGTCGTCCTCCCAGAGCTGCTACTGTGCCGTGGCGTGCCAGCTGCTGCGTGACATCTGAGAACCCTGGCTTTTCATATCGAACTGCCTCTGCCATTTGGAAGCGACAGCGACGCGGGCGCGGCGGGCTGCGAGCCTGCGCTGGGCAAGAGGGCGGGGACTGCCACTCGAGGCTCGCGAAACCCGGGGCACCGCTGAGCGGCGGGGAAGGTCTGCAATTCATGGGCAAGGAGCGCGCGACCCCACCTCGCACGCCCTGCTCCAATGCCCAAGCCGCAGTGTTTGACTGAGATCGTCAACGCAAGACCTACGAGACAGATCGACCCGTGCTGTCGCGACCTTGGACATCGGCGCACGTACCAAAACATGCCCGCGCCCACAATCCTCACGCAGTGGGCAGCGCGGGACAGGGGGGCGGCCCGCGCGCGCCGCACTGGCGAACGCAGCGGGCATCCGCCCGTGGTGGAAGCTCCAAATAAACGGTTCTCAGCAGTAGATTCCACGGCTGCTTCCCAAATGCGACGCCTACTAACTCAATCATGCACTTGAGCAACGCCGAAGAGACCGCGCCCGCGCGCCGCGCCGAGGCGCGCGGCAAATCCTCCGTAGATTGCTCGGGCTCGCGCATCTCTGACTGTCTCCGGCGCCTTCTCTTTGTGAGCAACGCGCCGGTCGCGCGCGGATCCCGACGCGGCCATGCCTGGCGAAGCGCGCAGACTGCTAGCGGGGGGCGGGGGTCCCCGCAATTGCCGCGGGGCAAAAAACGCGCCGAGGCAACGCTCGTTGTCGCCGCTTAAAGCCGGAGAGAAGAACGGCTACGGGGCCGAATCCCCCCCTGCGTTTTTGAAATTTTAGGCTTGCAGTTCGGTTTCGTTTTCTTTGTCGGCGGTTGGGGCGTTCGTTTTTTTCTTTTGGGGTGGGGGGATGGGGGGGGGGTTCTGCCTGGATCGTTTCCGCTTCCGTTTGCATCGCGACACACGTGGGTTGCGTTTCCGTTTGCGTCGCGCACCCCGCAGAGCCGTGGCCAAAGGGGAATGGTTTGGAACCTGGGGGGGGGCAAAACAAAACATTAAACCAACAATCAACAAGTCATTCGTTTCTTTTTCTTCTTCTTGTTATTCATATTTTTCTTTCTTTGCCCCCACCCCCCCCTCCTCCCCCTCTCCCACCCTCCACCCCGACCTCCCATCCTCCCCTTCCCCCCTCCCCTCCTGCCCCCCTCTCCTCCCTCCCGCCCCCCTTGCAATCGCATTGCATAAATGTCGCATTGCTCTATTGGGAAGTCGTGCTGCACAGTTGTAGCAGTGGCTGTAGTACTATAGTACTACAGTGTAGTACTATAGTACTATAGTGTATTATTATAGTACTCTAATGTCGCAGCATCGCTGTAATACTATGGTGCTGTAGTGTTGTAGTGGTGGCACTGTAATAGTCGTAGTAGAATACTGTAGCCGTAGTGCAGCAATAGTGGCAATATAATATTATACTGGTTGTATTGTGATACCGTGCTAAGCCAGTAATAGGATTGCACTCATGAAAAGGCAGCGCTGTAACAGTCCTGTAGTTGCAGTGGTACTACTCAGGTCTTGCAGTAAAGGTCATACTCTACCATTTGCTGTAGCTGTCGAACTGTCGTAGTGTGATAGAAGTAGTCCACGACTGGAGAGCTCGGCACGGTAGTAGTAGCATCCTCGATTTACAATACTTTGGTGGTGGTGCTGTAGGGTACGGTTGTCCTATTGTGGAATAGCGCTGTACTGTTGTAGCAGTGGCGCTGTAAAGCAATACTCTAATACAGTATTCGTGAGAGTAGTACCATCCGACTATCTGCAATGGGTGCGCTACAGTACTGTAGTAGGAATGCCCCAATGCCGTTTTATCGCAGCACTGTTGTAGTTTTCTAATACTGCAATGCTGTAGCGGTGGCAGTGTGCTCGCCGTAGAGAAGTACTCTAGCAGTCGTACTGCCGTAGCGGCACGCTAATACTATACTGGCGGTACTGCGATACCGTGTTAAGCCGGCAATAGTATTACATTTATGAAGTGGCCGCACTGTAGTACTCCTGTAGTTGTACGAATAAGAATGGTAGGAGTACAAATAATTATCATAGTAGTAGCAGCGTTAGTAGTACACGTGCTCAGGCCTTGCAGTAAAGGTCATATTCTAGCGCTTGCTTTAGTAGCCGCGCTGTCGCATTGTACTAGAAGTAATCCACGACTGCAGTGTTCGAGCACAGTCGCAGCACCCTCGAACTCGCACGTTCTAGCGGTAGTGCTGTAGGAAGGGCGCGGGCAGATTGGGGGGTAGTGCTGTACTGTTGTAGCAGTGACACTGTCGAAGCAGCACTCCAATACAATAATCGTATGGGCAGTAATCTACAGCTGTCTGCAGCGAGTGTACGATTGTACTGGAATAGAAATGCGCCGCAGTATCGCAGCACCGCTGTAGTATTATAATACTGCAGTGCTGTAGTGGTGACGCTGTAATAGCCGTACTACAATGTTGTAGCAGTAGTACTGCAGTAGTGATTATCCAGCATTGTACTGGCGTGGCTTCGGTACCGTATTGCGCCAGTAATCGGTTTGCATTAATGAAGCGGCAACACGGCAGTGGCCCTGCAATTGCAGTGGTAGAACTCAGATCTTGCAATACAGACTACAGTCGAGTACTTGCTGTTGCAAGCGCACTGTCGCATTGTGCTCGAAGTGGTCCACTATTGTAGTACTCGGGCACATCAGTGGCACCTTCGAACTGCAATGGTTTAGTGGTGGCGATGCAAGAAAGTGCCGTACTATTGTGGATTAGTGCGATGCATAAGCACTGACACTGTAGAGCAGGACTCGAGCGCAGGAGTCGTATGAACAGTGCTGTACGAGTGTCTGCAGTGTTTGTACTACAGTACTGCGGTAGGAATTAGTAAATGCCGTAGTATTGCAGCACGGTTGTAATACTGTAGTGCTGTGGTGCTGTAATGGTGCATCGTACAAATCGTAGTACAGCACGGGGGCAGTAGCACTGCAGTTCTAGTATTCAAGAACTGTACTGGTAGTACTCTGCGGCAGTAGTATCAGTGGAGTTCTTCCATTGGAGTACCCAAGCAGGGTAGCCGTACCATAGTACTCGAGTGCCGTAGTTCTAGGTCGCGTTGTCATATGAGAAACGTTCCATTGAAGTCAAAGTCAGACCTGGTGAAGTCTTACTGGCAACGCTAGAGTGGTGGCTGGAGGAGCAGTACAGTACTGCAATACTTTAATCGTGTAGCAGCACGCTAGCACGGTCGTGCCATTGTAATGGTAACAATGTTGTGGGGAGTAGTAGTACTAGAACACTTCAATTGTAATGCTGTTGGAAAAATCTGGTTTTAGTAGTACCCGAATATCGTAGTAGCAGTAGTAGGGCTGAGGGACAGACTAAGCTTTGGCTGAAGCTGAAGCTTGGCTGCGGCCATGGCTGAGACCGAGGCTGAGTCTTCTGTTCGGTTGAGGCTGAGGCTGAGGCTTAGACTGAGGCTTCGGCTGGGCTGAGACTTAGGATGGGCTTCGGCTGGGCTGCTCAGGCTGATGCATAGGCTGAGCTAAAAATGGCGCTTAGACTAAGGCCGAGGTTCAGGCCAGGCTGAAGCAGTGCTTACTTAGGCTGAAGCTTCGGATAGGCAGATGCTGAGGGTCACGCTTAGGCCGGGCGTGGACTAGGCCAAAGAAGAGGCAGAGGCTGAGGATAGGCTGGACACAGGCAGAGGTTGAGGGCTGAGGCTGAGGCCAGGCTGAGTCTGAAACTGAGGCCCAGGCTCAGGCTAGGCTTCGGCGAAGTTGTGGCCGGGGTTTAAGCAAGGCTAGGCTGAGGCTCAGGCTAGGAGCAGGCCGATGATTAGGCCCTTAGGCTGAGGACGGCGGAGAGAGAAAAAGAGAGAGAGAGAGAGAGGGAGAAAGAGAGAGAAAGAGAGAGAGAGAGAGAAACAAAAAAAAAACGAGAGGGGAAGCAACGCCAAGGAAAAACACGGCGGGCGTGCCGCGACGATATCAGCAGCAAGTTGACGACGCATCGCGCCCCCCACAAAACAAACTTCTTGAAAGCGCAAGGGAGAGGGGGGGGGATTCGGCCCCGGAACCGAAAATGACAACCGGCGCGAATCCCTCCTCCAATCTGACGCCTCGCCCTGGCCCCCAAGGGAGGCGGGGGGGGGCGCGCCCTGCAGGGGGGCCTTCCGCTGCGACCACTTGATCGGGCCTCGTTTACGTGGAGAGCGACAGTACCCCCCAGGGGCTCGAACCTGGGCCCCGACGACGCCCGCCTGGAGCGCCGCTGCAGCGCGCTGCCGCTGACGCGTCAACGACGCCGCTGGAAACTAAAGGAAAAAGCGGGCGAGCCCGCCGGCTGCTGACCTCATCGCGAGGATGCGCGGCCCGCCCCCCCGGCGGCGGGCGCGGGGGTCGCCCGTCGCCGAGCGCGCCCGGGCGAGGCGGAGCAAGCGGATGTGCGGCGAAGCAGGCCCACGATCAAAAAGGCCGCAGTCGCTGCAAGAGCATGGGCAGAGACAGGACGAGCCCGTAAAGGCACAATGTCCCTTCTCCGCTCTGTTTTCCTCTGCGCGCACACTCTGGGCCTCGCTCGGAGGTCGCCCACCTGGGGCCCGCGGGCCGGTCTGTGGGGCGCTCGACCGGACTGCGTCGCGGGCGGCGGTAGACGGGGCGGCGGTCGGAGGGGGGCGTCAACAGTTGGGCTCGCTGGCCCGGGGGTCGCGCTCGGAGACGTCGCCTCAGTGGCCCTCGAGATCTCGCAATGAAATGGTAGTCGCGCTGCTCTCGGCGCTCGCGCCCTCCTGGCCCTCGCGCCACTCTGGCCTCTCTGACTTTCGGCCTCGCGCCAATGCGCCTTGGAGTTTCGCTGTCGCGCCTTCCCCGCGCGCGCTGCCCGGCAAGAGTTTGCCCAGTCTCGTCGAGCATGCGCGCAGGCCACATCGGCGCGCTGCTCTCCAGGGCGGGCCACTCGAAGGCGCCCTGGGGGCAACTGGAGAACCCGCGCGGCGAGTTTGTCACGGGGCGACGAGCTCTGCGTTCGGGCCCGCGGGCGGGCGAAACTGTGCGGATCTGCCGCCGAGTGGCTGGATCGACGACCGAATGGCCTAATACTGGCTCAAGTGGGATGGCTTCTGGTCGCCCCCAGGCGCGCGCGCGAACTCTGCCTCGCGACGCAGGACTTCCCCCCCCGCTCTCGAGAAGAATTCTACTTTGGCGACCGCTCGGGCTGGCTATCAAGGGGGGGCGAAGGGTAGCGAGTAGGGTGGCAAACCTGCGGGGAGAAGCTATGTTCCGACAACGAAACCCGACAGAAACGCGACCATGGAAAGTGACGTAGACAAATGAGAAACCATGTGCGTGCAAAATCATGTGCAATAGCCATCGGAAGCCGAGCCCCGCTCAAATCTCCCACCAGTGGCTGCCCGTGCTTCGTCAAGCACCTGAACGGGCCGATGGTTCCGGGCATGCATGGAAGAACTCGCCCTCCTTCGTTCGCGCTGGCAGACAACCGGATGTTCGCCCGAGCAGCGTCGACAGGAAGCAGGATTGCGTTGCCCTTTGAATTCCCACGCAGACTTTGGACGGCCAGGCGAGACTCGCACAGAGATGCGAGGCCGAACGATGACTGCAATGCCCCCTGGCCTCGCCACTTACGCACGCCATGCTCGACTAGTGCGTTTGCATGGGGCCCTGCGCCAGACTGGATCCCGAAATGCCAGCCCGAGAAAGAAGGCACTGGGGCCCTGAGCCCACTGGAAAAGTCTCCCCGGCGGCGGTTCCCCGTGCGTCGCTTGACAGGGAAGCCGACGATGGGCGCGGAACGGCTGGTGCCTCCGTGGGCGCCGCGGAAGCGCCGCCGCCGCCGCCGGCCGCGCCGCTGGCTGCAGGCCGCTCTTCCTGTCCTCGCTCTTGCCGCTGGCAGCGTCGATGCGTCAACCGTGGCCGAGTCTGGAGCCTGGCCCCGGACAGGCGCGCTGCCCAGCGTGTGAGCTCCTCCTCGCGAGGGGGTGGCCGGATCACGCGACGCCTCGTCCTGACAAGCTGTGTCCGGTGCGCCAGAACTCGCGCCGCCAAGCGCGTTGTCCTTGGCCTGGCAGTCGGTGGGCTTGCGCTTCATGTGCATCCGTTCCGCGATGGTCATGGGCTTGCTTCGCCGTGTCAAAGAACTGATTCGGCTGCGAGTCCTTCTCCTGGAACGTGGCTTGGTAACTACTGTTCGAACCCCGCAACAAAAGCCCGCCGGGGTACCTTGTTTGATCGTTTCAAATCCAACGCCTCAGATCCGGCGAAGCGACGGCCATTCATCCTCCTCAGCCTTAGGCGCGCTCGTGCGGAAGCCCTCCGCCTGCGCCAAGGCTACAGTGACCGAGCGCTTGGGAGCGCACGCCTTCGCCGAGTCAAACGCCGTCTCCTGATCCTTCTTCTCTTCGGCGACCAAGTCGTTGCGCAATCGCATCACCTGCGCAACAAGCTGGCAGCGGCGATTGCTCGCCGCCCTCCACGTTCCATCGGCCTTCGAGACCACGTCAATCCCGTTGGCCGTGGCCGTCTGCGCAGACGCGGTGTCGAGCGCGCGGACGCGGTGTCGGGCGGAGCCTGCTGCGCTGACAACACGGTGTCCAGCTCTGGGCCCAAGGCCTGGGCCATCGCCTTCTGGAGGAGCTGCTCTGCACTGCCCTCGAAGCGCAGTTGCACTTCGAACTGGCTGGAAATAGCCTCACCCTGCGGGAACAGCTTGGCCAGCGGCACCGAGTGAGAACTATCTTGTCGATGCTCTCGCACGTGTACCAAAGCCTGCATCAGGACCACACTCTCACGGGCATGGTGCGAAGCGATCCCCAGCTTTCGTGAGCGAGACTGGACTGTGGCGGCCAAGCGGTTCGCCGACTTCCTCGAGCACGGCGCGAAGGTACTGGAAACGGCCACAAACGATGCGCGTATGTGCCCACGTGGATCGAGGAGGGGGGAGGAGGAGAAAGGGGGAGGGTGAGGAGGTGGGAGGGGGATTGCGAGGAGGAACGATGGGGAGAGGGAGGCCGTGCGTGACGCTTTGGTGGTACGGTAGGTTCGCGCGGCGTCGGCGCGCACCAAGGTCTTTGTCACGACGTTGATCGTTCAACCTTGAGCCGATCGCGGCCCGGATCGTTCGAGGTTGAATTCCGTCGGGTCCTGTGGCGTTGTCATGTCCCTCGGTGCTTCCACGTAGTTCCATCATGCAGGATTCAATCTAGAACGCCGTCGCCGGCGCGCCATCGCCGCATGAACCTACCGTATCGGTCTGGTAAAAGGCCTCCCGGATAAGGTCGGAACAGATGGGGTCGGACGATCGCGCCGCATTGTCGATACTCACACCACCGATGCATTAGCGATGCATCGGCGACGTCGGCGTGGAACACATCGAGCCGCATCGCCGACTCGCTGGCTATGCGACACCATCCTCCAACCCCATCTCTGACCTCATCTGGGAGGCATAGAATGATGGCGCGTATCCTTAACGAACGCCACCACCAAGAGGTACCAATACCACTACTCCGTGGACCTCTCCTGGGATGCGTTTTGACCGAAATTTCGAGGCGAATCCAACGGTGATGACGAGGGCCTCCCAAGAGGCCCAAAATGGGGAGAACGAGGAGAGGGTAGCGTATTGGTACATTGTTCCTCCTCTGAGAATGGCCTGGTGGTCTCGGTATCCCTTCGTGCCCTTCTCCTCAGCGACGTCCCCCACGTCACCAGCCCCATCAGCACCATCGCCAGCGCAAAGCCGCCCGCCGCGGCGGGAAGCTGGGCCGCCAGCGCGGCGGGCACGGCGGCCGCTGCCTCGCTGTTCCGCTCTGGCCCCTCGCCCTCCTCCACGTCCCCCTTCTGGTGATTAGCTGGTGGTTTGCTGGGGGGGAGGAAAAAACGTTCATACATCTACACAAAGATAGCCACATATATATCTCTCTCTCTCTCTCTATATATATATATATCTATATATATATATATTTGTGTATATACATATATATATATAGCTTATAGATACAACAAAACACTCCACGTCCCCCCCTCATCCTGCTGCCGAGTTCTGCCCACGACTCTCGGGGCTCGAGGAGGGGAGGCTTCTGGGCGCTCTGGTGTCTTGGCGATCTGGGCGTGGCGATCTGGGCGCTGATCTGGGACGGTGCCGCTGCGATTCGGATCCGCTTTGGGGGCCCCTGGAGGGCTCTGGACGGCTTCTGGGGGTCTCCAGGGGGCCTCTGGGGGCGGGGCCCGAGGGGGGAAGCAAATCTTACGGAAGGGGCCCTGGGACACACAAATAAATACACACCGATAAAAGGATCCCCCATATGTTCTCATATTTTCTGGGTTTTCGTCTCCCCCCCACTTCCCACGTTTTCCCATATTATCCGGGGGATCGAGGATTCATTGTGTCTGTGTGGTTTTCCCCGTCCTGACTTACAGCCTCCCGCAGCTCCCCTCCTCAGCATCCCGGTCCACCTGTCCCGAAGGCGACGCTCCTGCTGTTTACCAGTGGCGTCTGCGGGGTCGATGTGTGGAGGGCCCCGGTGCGGGGATCGCGGAATGATGTGTGCTGCTGCTGTCCCCGTGTCGTCTCCTAGTAAGTACAGTCGGGGCCTTGACCAAAGGAACCCTAAATAAGGAACGAGTCCCTTTTTTTCCATAAGTTAAGTTTTGATTTCTGATCGAACATCAGGAAAACCTGAGGCGAGCTGTGAAACACTTAAGGAACACGGAGCCCCTCCACAACGAAAAGGGTTCCTTCTTCAGGGCCCCCACTGTATGGCCGATGTCGTAGAGAGCCGAGGCAACGTGGAACGACTTCGTTGTCCAACATGGTTTGAAACAGATGTCGTTTTCGTGTGCACTGTGCATGCCTGCTTGCCTTGTGGATTGCAAGTCCGTCGCAAGCTCTGTGTGACCCGAATTGGCTTTCCACGTATCCTCCAACCACGCTCGTGGTTCTGCTTCCTGACCTGTCACACATGTCTTCGCTCCAGTCTGTATAAACCTCGTAACAATTTCCTGGGAGTTCTTGACATGTGTGGGCGCGAGAAAAATAGTAATTAGCCTGGCGAAGAACCCAACCATATGCAGTTGTCAGCACCGCAGCTGTGGGTTTCACCTTCAATGGAACTCCCCATAGGACCACGGAACGTGTGAGGGGTGTGCCGAGATGGGTGCCACTGGGGCTTTCGGTGAAGCTCCCTATGGGGACATGAAACACGTGCGGGGTGTGCCGACATGGGTGGCGGAAACGCATGTGAGGTCCGCCACTGAGGCCTCCAGTGGAGCTCCCTATGGGGCCCCGGAACACGGGGGGGGGGTCGGGATGGGTGGCGGAGACGCATGTAAGTGCCGCTACTGGGGCCTTCGGTGGAGTTCCCTATGGGGCCACGAAACGTGTGAGGGGTGTACTGGGATGTGTGGCGGGGGCGCATGTGAGCGCCGCCACTGGGGCCTTCGGTGGAGCTCCCTATGGGGCCACGAAACATGTGAGAGGTGTGCCGAAATGGGTGCGGGTGACGCATGCGGGCGGCAGCACTGGGGCCTTCGGTGGAGCTCCGTTATATGGGGCCACGAAACATGTGAGGGGTGTGCCGAATTGGGTGTGCGGGACGCATGCGGGCGGCAGCACTGGGGCCGTCGGTGGAGCTCCCTATGGGGCCACGAAACGTGTGAGAGGTGTGCCGAATTGGGCGTGCGGGACGCATGCGGGCGGCAGCGCTGGGGCCTTCGGTGGAGCTCCCTATGGGGCCACGAAACGTGTGAGGGGTGTGCCGAATTGGGTGTGCGGGGCGCATGCGGGCGGCAGCGCTGGGGCCTTCGGTGGAGCTCCCTATGGGGCCACGAAACGTGTGAGGGGTGTGCCGAAGTGGGTGTGCGGGACGCATGCGGGCGGCAGCACTGGGACCTTCGGTGGAGCTCCCTATGGGGCCACGAAACGTGTGAGGGGTGTGCCGAATTGGGTGTGCGGGACGCATGCGGGCGGCAGCACTGGGGCCTTCGGTGGAGCTCCCTATGGGGCCACGAAACGTGTGAGGGGTGTGCCGAATTGGGTGTGCGGGACGCATGCGGGCGGCAGCACTGGGGCCTTCGGTGGAGCTCCCTATGGGGCCACGAAACGTGTGAGGGGTGTGCCGAATTGGGTGTGCGGGACGCATGCGGGCGGCAGCACTGGGGCCTTCGGTGGAGCTCCCTATGGGGCCACGAAACGTGTGAGGGGTGTGCCGAAATGGGTGTGCGGGACGCATGCGGGCGGCAGCACTGGGGCCTTCGGTGGAGCTCCCTATGGGGCCACGAAACGTGTGAGGGGTGTGCCGAATTGGGTGTGCGGGACGCATGCGGGCGGCAGCACTGGGGCCTTCGGTGGAGCTCCCTATGGGGCCACGAAACGTGTGAGGGGTGTGCCGAATGGGTGTGCGGGACGCATGCGGGCGGCAGCACTGGGGCCTTCGGTGGAGCTCCCTATGGGGCCACGAAACGTGTGAGGGGTGTGCCGAATCGGGACGCATGCGGGTTCGGTGGAGCGTGTGAGGGGTGTGCCGGGCGCATGCGGGCGGCAGCACTGGGGCCTTCGGTGGAGCTCCCTATGGGGCCACGAAGCGTGTGAGGGGTGTGCCGAATTGGGTGTGCGGGACGCATGCGGGCGGCAGCACTGGGGCCTTCGGTGGAGCTCCCTAAGAAGCCACGAAACGTGTGAGGGGTGTGCCGACATGGGGTGGTTGGAGGAGGGAGGGGGCAGCGGGAAAGGAAGGAACGCGGGGCGACGTCTCTTCAAAACGAGGACCCAACACCACAGGATGGTTGGGAACGAAGCCAATATTTCCACATCGTGATGATCTCCTTTGTCATGCTCTCCTACCCTGAATGGTCGCAGGGGTATTTATGTAGCTATGAGCGCCTCTCTCGGGATGTGGTTGGCTATCAGACTAGTCGTAACACATGTTTTTGTCACTACTTTTCCTTGTTCTCGCTCCGAACTGTAGACCGCAATGGTCATGCAAGCTGGTCGTGGTACTGGCCTCCGCACCTGCCAATTTTTGGTTCCCGCCTATCCGTAGGAGGTCACACCCTTCCAACTGCTGCAAGATGTCCTCTAGCCTCTCGACTGTGGGAGCTGCCCGTGGGTTGTACGCCAATGTCTTCGTAGCACATGCCAAAATAACGAACATTTGAACATTCCCGACCTGCCCCCCCTCCTTTGTCGCGGGTGGGAGGAAGCGGCGGAGAGGTTGCTCCCGCGGCGAAACTGTGTGCCCTCCTGGCGAGATGGTGATCTCTCGAACCTTCCTGCTGTAACCTCGGAGGAGGAGGAGGAGGCGTGGAGACGTGGCAGAGGAGGCGGCCGTCGCCGCCATCGCAGCCGCCGCCGCCCAGCGTCGCCGCCGTCGCCGGCGGTGAGCGGACGATCGCGGCCTTCCCGCACCCGGGCATCGGCTCGCCCGCGCAGGAGCCCTGCGAGCTGGACTCGGCGTCGGAGCCCTGGAGACCCCTCGAGGAGGGCACCTGGCTTAGGCCCGTAGGCCGGCGCGCGGGGGCGAGGAAGCGGCGAGGGCGACGGCGACTACGACGACGGACAACGACGACCGACCGACCGACCGACCGACCGACCGAGTGAGCGCCGCCCAGCGGCCGCCGCCGCCCACCGAGGGCGACGACGGCGGGGACGACGACTGCGACGGCGGCGACGTGCAGTGCTGCCAAGCTTGGCCCCTCGAGGAGCGGGTGATCGAGGGTCGACCCGCCCGCCCTCTTCTCCTCATCGTGAGCCCTCCTCGTCCTCCTGCTCCTCCTCCTCATCCCGCTTTTCCACTGCCTTCCCCCTCGTCTCTCCTTCTCCTCCTGCTCCTCCTCCTCCTCCTCCTGCTCCTCCTCCTCCGCCTCCTCTCTCCTCCTCCTCCTCCTCCTCCTCCTTCTCCTCCTCCTCTTGAGGCTGCTGAGTTTTGCCACTCCCGGGCCGATGCCGTCCCCGCGACGTCGTCGTGTTAGAGGGTCTTGGGTGGGATTCTGGAGGCTCTTGTGATTACGGCTGGATGCAGCTCGAGAAACTGGACAGGACGGACCCCTGGATGGGGTCGTGGATATAAGCAATTCTTGGACGTTGTTGTCTGCCTCCTCCTCCTCCTCCTCCTCCTCCTCCTCCTGATGAAAATCTCCCCCCGCCCTCCAGGATCAAGGGGGGCGGTATTTTGTAGAGTTTGACTCCTTCTGGCCTCCGAAAAACCGCTCGTGACGTCCAGGGGTAAGAAGCCAGTCAAAAATTCTGATCGGAGCCAGTGGAGGAGGATGAGGGGGAGCTGGGGGAGAAAGGGAGCAGGAGGAGTGAAAGGAGGACTGAGAGGAAGAGAAGCGGCAGTGGGAACAAGAATAATACATAACGAGGGGGGCGGAATTGGACCATGAGAAGGGGAGAAGATGGATGGCCCCCCCCCCTAGAATGCCCTCGGCGAGGCGCAGCTGCTGGAGAGCACCAAGAGGCTGAAAGACCGCCAAGAACCGACGAAGACGTCGGAAGGCTTCGAACCTCGGACCAGTCTCGTTCGACCCCACAGGGCCACCCCGCCAAGACCTTCGTCGAGACCTCCGTGGCGGCGGACGTGGGCAACGCCAGCGGCCGCAGGTCTGGCGACGGCTGAGGCACGACCGGAAGGTCCTCGAACCTTTGGGGGGGCATTGCGCAGACGGCACCCCGCCATCTGCACTTGTAGTGGCGAAAAAACACGACGGGAGGTTTTTTGGCTGTTTCGGCCTCCCCGTGCGTCCGCCTTGATCCAGCATGCGCCCAAAGCACGAATGCGTACCAAAACGCGCCATGCGGGCAACACGCGCGCGCCGCCGAGAGCGCCGAAACCCGTTCGAAATCATTGGTTCCCGAAGCAATCCAAGACACAGGTCAAGGTAAAACACTCACAAACACTAAAAAACACACACATGTGCTCAATGGACATATGCCACATGTCTTGCATGTCCGCGCGCGCATGCACTTCCTCACCATCACCCTGATCAGTGCCGCCGCATCACGCCATCGTCATCGACCATCTCCGCCATTGTCGCCATCACAACTCAAGCTTCTTCATCGACATATGGAGCTCATAATCGTCATCCTTGTCACAAGCATCGGCGCCGTCATTGGCAATGCCGTTGTCATCATCGTCATCATCGCAACCACCATCACTACTACCATCATCGTCGCCGTCGTTATCAACGTCATCATAATTTCCGCGCCCGCTTCGAAGACCCGCTTTGAAGTGCCCGCGCGCCAGCGCGGCCTTTGAGACGCGCTGGGACGTTCCCATCGAAAAGCGTCATTGCGGCTGCATCGGCTGTGCCATAGCTGGCCGCTCTGCGCGAGAGCTTGCGCGCGCTATCGTAGCAGCAAAGATGTGCCGGTCAGCGCCAAGGAGTCACCGCAATCGCGGCCAAATGGGTTCTACAAAATAAAGTTGCGAGTGGAGGGTGGGATGATTGCGCGATCAGTGGGGTTGACAACTCATTTGTGAACATGAGTTGATTACACTACGTAGCTTGAACCATGTAGGTTGCTTCACGCGGCATACGCCACATAACTTGCACAACAAAACCTGCAACACACCGCTTGCACCACACAGATGCCACCGCAAAGCCTGCACCGAATGGCGTACATCACATAGCTTGAACCGCATAGCTTGGACTACATAGCTCAAACTACATAGCATACACCACGTAGCTTACACCACATAGTTTGTGCAGCAGGTCTCTCACAACAGCATGTGCTCACCAGATTCATCACAATCCACGTCCATGCAAAGCGTGCCCCGAAACACCTCTCAGTACCAAGCGAGTCTGATCCAAAGCAATGTATTATCCCTGGAGGGCCTGCTGTCGTACGGCTGGAATTTGAGGAGCTGCTTGTTGCCTGAGGCCACCTCAAGGGCCTGAGCCAGGTCGACCAGCAGGTCGCGGGGGTCCTCGATGCCGATGGAGAGGCGGACGAGGTCGGCCGGCAGCGAACGCTTCTCGGAGGGGATGGAGGCGTGGCTCATCGTGCAGGGCATCTCGCACAGGCTGTTCACGCTCCCAAACGAGACCGTGGTCTTGAATATCTTGCACGCGTCGATGAGCTTCCTGGAGAGCTCGATGTCCCCAGTGGTGAAGCTCATCACTGCACCTGGCCCTGTGCTCTGCGAGCGATGAATCGCAAGACTCTTCGCATCGCAGCCGCCGACGCCGGGGAAGAGTACCTGCTTGATGAGCGGGTGCTTTCTGAGGAAGTTGCACACCTGAACCGCGCTCTCCTGAGCCCTCTGCACTCGCAGGAACATGGTCTTCATGCCCCGCAGGAAGAGGAAACACTCGAACGGTGCGAGCGCTGTACCCTCGGCGTTCTGCAAGAAGGCCACCCGGTGTGCAAGCTCTGGGTCACGAACGCACACGAGCCCACCAGTGCAGTCGGCATGGCCGGAGAAGAACTTCGTCGCAGAGTGCACCACAATGTCCACCCCCAGGGTCAAGGGCTTGCAGATCACAGGGGGCATCATGGTGCTGTCCACGCTGACCAGCACGTTGCGCTCGTGTGCCACGGCAACGATGGCCCTAATGTCGGTGATGCGCATGCGCGGGTTGGACGGCGACTCCAGGTGAATCATCTTGGTGCTTGGTGTAATGGCCTTCCGGACCGATTCAGGGTCCGTGGTGTCCACGAAGGTCACCTTGACGCGGACGGGGAGCGGAGCCGAGAGCGGCAGAACCATCCGCACAATGAGCACCCCTTCGCCCGAGGCCCTTTCTAGCAAGCGCGCACAGGGAGGAGGCATCGAACGATACAGGGCCATCGTGTGAGCGCACGGGGAAGCACAGTAAACGCCAGAAGCGGGGGTCGGGGTGGTTCTTCCCCCCTGAAGGGGCCGGGGCGGAATGGAATGGAATGGAGTGGACCCATCGCGAAGTGACGAAATTGCCACCTGATCAATAGGCCTGAGACAACTCACCTCGGCGTGGACTGGGCTCTGAGCCAATTGCCGTCGCAGATCCTTCTGACGTGCCAGAAGGCGCCGCGACGCTGCGACCGGGCCGGAGGAGGAGGGAGAGGAGGAGAGGGAGGAGAGGAGGAGAAGGAGGAGGAGGAGGAGGAGGAGAAGGAGGGGGAGGAGGAGCAGGAGGAGGAGGGAGAGGAGGAGGAGGACAAGTTAGGTGCGCTCGCGTCAACATCTGACATCCTACCCCTCGCTCCCATCCCTTACCATGGCGCTGATTTTCTTGATCCGCGGACGCGTGTCGTAGCGGACCTGTGGCTCCGCGCGCATGTGCGCAGTGGGTGGTGGTGCGCGTGCGTGCGTGCGTGTGTGCGTGTTTGTGGTTGTTGTGGTGGTGGTGGTGTGTATGTGTGTGTGTGTGTGTGTGCGTGTGTGCGCGTGTGCTGTGGTGTGACGTGGTGTGGCGTCTTGGTGGTTTGGTGGTGGGCCAGGTGCGTACGTGCGTGATGGCGGTGGTGGTGGTGGCGGTGGTGGTGTGTGTGTGTGTGTTTGTGTGTGTGTCTGTGTGTGTGTGCGTGTGTGTGCGTGTGTATGTGTGTGTGTGTGTGCGTGCGTGCGTGCGTGCGTGCGTGCGTGCGTGTGTGTCTGTGTGTGCGCGCGTGATGTGGTGTGACGCGGTGTAGCGTGGTGGTGGTGGGTGGGGTAGTGCGGTGGTGGTGGCGGTGCGCGGTGGTGATGCGCGTGCGTGCGTGCGTGCGTTGGTGGGTGGAAGTGGCGGTGGGTGTGCGTGCGGCGGGGCGGGGCGTGGTGCGGCGCGGTGGTGGCGGGCGGATGGGCGCGCGAGAAAGAGGCCCGCGCTGGGGCGAGAACGCCATCCTGAACGACGGAGGCAAAACACCGATCCGAAAATGAGGCCCACGCTGCAGCGGGAGCACGATTCGGAACGATTCGGGAGCAGAAATGAGGCCAGCGCCTCAGCGAGAGCAGCATTTTGAAAAAAACGCAAGCGAAAACCCAACTCCTGGGAATCCTGTGTAAAAAACAATACGCGGGGGGGGGTCGGCTACTTTCAGGCCAGCTTCGGGGGAAGAGGGAGAGTAGTATTCATATTGCGTAATTGTGGAGGAGGAGGAGGAGGAGGAGGAGGAGGAGGAGGAGGGGCAAGACGAGGCGCCGCGACGCCGCGACCGGGCCGGGCCACCCTCGGCGGTGGGGCAGCTCGCTCGCCGCCCGCCCGCCGGCATGCTCAAGCACCCGGCGGCACGGTGCGCCCCCCTCGGGCGCGGCGGCGGCGGAGAGGCAGAGGGCCAAGCTGCGGTGAGGTCAGCGCCCGGGGCATCATTAGGGGAACAAAAAGTGGCAGAAACATAAAAACTCGGAGGTCCGCGCGGATTTCTCGGATCGGCGCTGGGGCCCCCTGGGGGCGCCTCCGGCGCCGCCCCTGGCGCGCTCCGCGCGCGCTGAGGCCCCCTCCCTGGCGCGCGGAGCGCGCCAGGGGCGGCGCCGGAGGCGCCGCCAGGGGGCCCCAGCGCCGATCCGAGAAATCCGCGCGGACCTCCGAGTTGTTATGCTTATGTCACTGCTTGTTCCCCTAATCATTGGGTGAGAGATCCAGGGTCTGGGAGGCAGTGGAGCTCCAATCGTGGACTGCCCATTGGCAGCACCGCCGCCCTCATTCGACAAGGAATCCTCCAGGACCTGGAGCCTCCTGGGCACACTCCTTCAACCGCGCCCCCCCCGTAGATGCGCTCGCGCCGCATCTGGAATCCCACCCCTCCCACACCATCCGTTCCCACTGCGCTGAGTTTCTACCTCCGCTGGCAGGTGTCGTGGCGGACCTGGAACCTGGAACCCTCCAGAAGGACACCATCGCACCATGAGCAATCACATAATGGGATTCGTGCACACTGGTGGATGAGGAGGCGGCGGCAAGCCGGAGCATGGGCAGGAGTGAGGCGGGCGGCGACAATGGTGGAAGAGCGGCACAAACGTAGAGCCCCCTCCTTCTCCTCCTCCTCCTACTCCTCCTCCTCCTCCTCCTTCCCCTCCTCCTCCTCCTCCTCCTCCTCCTCCTCCTCCTCTTCCTCCTTCATCCTCCTTCTTCCTTCCTCCTCTTCCTCCTTCCTCCTCCTTCCTCCTCCTCCTCCTAAATTTCTGGAGGTCCTGCGGATTTCTTGGGCTGGCGCTACCACCCCCAACACCTGGTGGCGCCGGCGCGCGTCGCGCAAACCAGGGGTCCCCAGATGGGGTCCAGGGTGGGATCCGTCAGCAACGAACCGGGAACTCGGATCCAATCGGAATGTGCGGGCCCCAATGATCTACACTACCACCATCTCCATTCCACTTCCCTCGTCCACCCTCACCTTCCTCTCCTCTTTCCCGGGAGAGGGAGGGGATGAGGGCGGTGGTGGTGGTGGTGGTATGCCTTCGGGCCCCGTGCAATGTGCGTCGGATCGGGCTGCGTCGGCACGGGATCGGAATCGAATCGGTTCGGCCGCACGAGGGTGCACAACATCGCCATGCAGGCATCGGGCCACACCAGACCGTCGGCATACATCGGATTTGGACGCCCGAAATGGGTACGGAGAAAAATGGGTACAGTGCCCAACAACAAATGTTGTCCCAAACCAACAGCGACCGCTGTTGGGCAGGCGGCCTTCTGTCTCGAATGGACACAGGCCGCGGCGGCGCGGACAGCGAGACCTGTTCAAAAGGAAAAGGAACTGATGCTGGGCATTGTGCCCATTCTTTCCGTACCCATTTCGGGCGTCCAGATACATCGGAGTCGAAGCGGATTGGGCTGGCCCTGGCCCTTCAAGGCCGTTCCAAGAGATATGCGCGGACCTCCAGTCTTTGTTGCTGGTGCCATTTCCTGAACCGGAAAACAAGCAACACCACCCCATTTACCTACGGCAACACGGGGCTGAGCGTATACCAGGAGATCTGGCGTGGGCTTTTGCGTGGTATACGCCACGGCGCCCGATGGGCCGTGGCGCAGCATGGAGGGCCGTAGGTAAGGTGGTGTCGCGTTTGTTTGTTGGTCGAGTTTTCTGCCTTCCGCGACGGAGGCGGCTTGGAGGGCAGTGCTCTCGTTCGAGGAGGCTCGTCTCATGCGATGGGGGGCGGCAGAGGGTTGGCGTGAGGGGAGGGGGTCCTGGCGGAGGCGGGTCCGGGCCTCTGGAGCGCTGCCCAGAGCCAGTTCTGCATCCTTGTGAAGGGGCCCCAGGACACACAAATAAATACACACAAATAAAACTATTCTCCATATTTTCCCATATTTTCTGGGTTTTTGTCTTCCCCCCAATCCCCATATTTTCCAATATTTTCCGGGGAATCGACGATTAATTGTGTCTGTGTGTGTTTTTCCCCTCCTGAGGGCCGTTGCGTGACGGTCCTGGAGCCTCTGGGAAGGGCCCCCCGGAGCCAGAAGACAGCAGCAGAACTGCAGTGCACGTTCCCTCCGAGACCCCCTTCACCTTATATTTCTGGCGGCAAGAATGCAGGGGGAAAGGGAGGAATCCGCTGCCCCTCAGGAGGGCTATCCCAGACGCACATGCCGAGCGAAATCGCAGGCAGGTCGGTGCAGAGAACACCTGGAAATCCCCCGGCTCGGGAGACTCGCGAATCAGGGAGCCAGAAGGCGACAGATAACCCCGTCTCTTCATGGCGAGAGGAAGAGAAGGGAGTCGGCCAAAATCACCTTGACGCCGTTGTGGCAGCAGTCCTGGGTGAGCAGCCGGTGCATCCCTCCGTAGATGTCCTCGTTGCACAGCACCTCGGCAGCGTTGCGCACGGCCCCTCCCCCTTTCAGCTGCGCCTGAGCCCCATCCTCCTCCTCCTCCTCCTCCTCCTCCTCCTCCTCCTCCTCCTCATCCTCCTGCTCCTCCCCCTCCTCGTCGTCCTCTTCCACGTCCACATATTCAAAATCCGAATCACCTTTCCCCTGTGCTAATCTGCGTCGCCAAATTACCTAGCTTCCCTCTGCTATCCCTTTTCCATGTGTTTATATACACATATAACTGTGTGCATCTGCGTGCATTGTTATATGCACATATCTAGGCAAGTACATATAAATACACCTATACATACATACCCAACAGGTGTTCGCAGTTAGGGGTTCGTACTTCTGGAAAAAAGAACCCGGGTCTGAAGGTCGGTCTGGCGGCTGTCTCCGCCGTCGCCGCCTTGTCGCCGCCCGTCCTCTGGGCCTGAATGTCGATCTGGTGGCTATGCCGCCGCCGTCGATGGATCGTCGACGCTCGTCGTCTGAGCCTAGCGGCTGGTCTGGCGGTTATGGTGTTGCCGTCGCCGCCCGGTCACCTCCGCGTCGCGGTCTCGCAGAATGTCAACATGTAAATTGCACCACCTGGCACCTTTTTTCTCCGCAAGGTATGAGGATCCACCTACCCCCACCCCTAGACTTCACGGTACGCCTTTTCGGATTGCGATTTGTATGCGATGAGGCCCCATCGTCCATGCGAGACGCGACGTCGTGCAATTCTGGGCAGGCAGCCCCTTATCAGTCCCCCTTTCATCCTCTGTCAAAGCTATACACTCACATTCGCTGATGCGCATCAGCAATTTTCTCGAACCCCTTGAGGCACACGGGACGAATTGTACACGTGCGCGTCGTCGCGCGCGCATGCCGAAATCCTTCAAAAACCGAAATCGTTCTAACGCCCTTGCGCGCGTGCTGTCGCAGGGATCCTTCGCAACAGATGGGGCAAAGTGCGAACGCGAGCGTTGTCGCGCGCGCTTTGCCGAAATCCCTCACACATCTGCAGTTTCTTAAAGATTGCAACGTCGACTGTCCCGAAACCATATAAAACACATGGCTTTGCAACATCAGAATTAAAAAGAGGTCTGCGCGCGCGTTTTTGCGATATTTGTTTCTGTATCACTCTTAGTACTCTTATATATACACACACGTAGCTTCCCCTCTGTCCATCCAAATTGACTGAACGGGCCTCCCGTGCCGCATGTCGAAATCATTCGGGTGCCCTTGCGCGCGAGCTGGGGGGACACAATCCCTGTCAAATCATTCCATGCGGGGCACTCGCGCGCGTCACCCGCGCGCGCAGCCAACCCTGTCGGCGTGTGGAAAAGACTGTTCCGTTTGACTCGTAGTTTAACAACGTTGTAGTTGAGTCGAAGGGAAGGCCCTTCCCTTTGATCCCTTCCCCCCCGGGGGGGGCCGGGGGCAGGGTCCCAGGGGGGGTCCTGGGGAAGGGTCCCGGGGGGTCCCGTCCCGGGGCAGATGCGACTCCCCCTTGGGCGGTTCGGCGGCCAAGAAAACACGCATGTCGCGGCAAAAGTGGTGGTTTCCCTCAAGACCCTTGCCCCCGCCTTGGCCCCCGCTCCAGCCCGGTTCCTGGCCTGGCCTGGCCGGCCGCAGCCCCGGCCGCGGCCCTGGCCCCAGCCCCAGCCCCGTCGCCTCCCAGACGCCTGCCCCCGAGGAGACACACGGCTGTCCTCCTCTTTTTTCTCCTCCTCCTCCTCCTCCTCCGCCTCCTCCTCCTCCTCCTCCTCCTCCTCCTCCTCCTCCTCCAGCTTCGGCTCGCGAGGAGGACCCCCCCTGGGTGCCTGCATTGCAGGCGAGGGCGTCCACCCCCCATCGCGAGCTGGGACCAGCGCCCACGGCGCAGCCGCGGGAGGCGGCAGCTCACCACAGGGCGCGCTCGCGCCGCGCGGAGGACCGCGCCCTCCTCCGCGCCTGGTCAAACAGATCATCGCCCGAGCTGCAGGAGCGCCTGTGTCGCGCGGCGCGGCGGCTCCAGGAGCACCACGGCTCGTCGCCAGGCAGGATGGCGTCTGGGCCGCCTGAGCTGCGCGTGTTGCGGGGTCCCAAGATGCCGTTCTGGGGCTGCTCGTGCGGCAAGGACAACAACTGGGCATCGCGCATCACGTGCTCATGCAGGAGGTCGGCACCGCGGCGCGTGGTCGATGCTGCCAAAATGGCGGACTAGGACCGTCGTGCCAAAGGGGGAACCCGTCCTCCTGCACGAGCAGGTGCTGCCGCCTCAGGAAAGCTGCTGCGGAAGCGGCCCTGTGGTCCCAAGGGTACAACGGCGGGTTGGAGGAGCAGATGCGGGCGCTCACGAAACGCATGGCCCGCCTCACGCAACGTCCTTCGACGACGGCTCCTGGTGGCCCAGCGGCAGGAGGCGGAGGCAGCATCAGGAAGGAGCACGATGATGGTGATAAGGACGCGTTCCACCAGAAGACGGTGCTGCAGGAGAAGATCACTACCATGAGAAGGCTCTCAAGGAGTGCAGCAAGGTGGAGGAGGACGGCGGGCCGCTCCATCTTCTCCACCAGAAGGCCTAGGAGGAGCTCCGAGGACAAGTTCGTGCGCCGCGGCCCCCAGAAGCTGAGCACAGGGCGACGACGCAGAAGCTGGCGAAGTGCAGGCAGCAGCTCGATAGATACGAAGCCGGCCTCAAGGGCCTCCAGGAGCAGTTCGCCAGCATCCGCCAGGAGATCACCGAACAGCTAGAAGCGATCACGGCCTAGAGGGCCGAAGTGGAGGTTTGCAAGGTCGAGGCGGTTCGGCAGGAGCGCGTGCTGCTGGAGGCTTGCGGTGAGCTGCCGACGGCGAAGGCGAAGCTGGTCAGCCTCACGGCGAAGGACCTCACCGCCTTCAATATCGACGAGGATGAGCTGCCGGTGCAGGCACCTGAAGCTCAGGAGGCGCTGGCGGCGTTCAAGGCCAGTCCCCACTTCGCCAGGACCCAGCAGGCCTTGTGCAAGCAGGTCGATGGGCATCTGGCTTCGGTGGTTGCTTCAGCTCATGCGCATGATCGCGACGATGACGATGATGATGCCGACGAAGGAGGTGCGACCCCACCTGGCGGTCCACGCAGCGGCGGCGATGTCGTCATGGAGCAGGGCACGCCCCCTAGCCGAGCTGACAAGCGAGACGCCAAGGCGGTCCAGCTGGTAGAGTTCGCCAAGGAGGATGTCGAGGCCCTCTGGGCCGTCCTCAGCCAGCAAGCGCAGCCAGCCTCGGAGTGGACCAAGGAGCAGCTCCAGACCGCCATCGAGAGCGTCCAGAACACCAAGCACCGACGAACGGATGGAGGATCTGTTCGTGCTGGAGGATCGGGTGGGCGACGCGAAGCAGTTCGTCAGCGGGGTCTGCCACGGGCCCAGGCCCCCTGTGCAGGAGGTTCCCGCCATGCTCGCGACGACGCACATTTTTGAAACATTCAATGCGAACCGGGGTAAACAGACTCTGCAGCGCAGGCTCCGCACCACGACTGCCGCAGTCGTCCTGGCGCAGGAAATCGGCTATGGCGCTGGCGACAGCGAGGCCCTCAGCAGCAGGGCGGGAACAAATCGCCGGCAATGTCTCGTGGTTCCAGGGCAAGCGGCGAGAGGACATCTTCCCTCGACAGGGCATGCAGTTTTCGCCAGGGAAGGAGTCTGACTTCGAGGACCGACTTACCCAGCTGACGCCCCTCCGAGGCGCACTGGCGCCATCAACTCCACGGTGGCCCACGGCCCGGAGATGGTAGCGGGCTGGGCGCAACGCGCAGTGGTGGAATTGCCCAACTGGCCGCGCATCAACATCTACAACCTCTACCTCCATGCGGCAGGGGGGATGAGCGCCCGCAACGCGAATATTATCATGGCGATTGGGCTGGCGATTGCAGGCCAGATTCACCCGTGCATCGTGGGGGGCGACTGGAACATGGAGGCCCAGGTGGTTCGTGATTCTACTTCCCCTGTGCAGGCGCAGCTTGAGCTAGCGGCCCCAAGGCGCACCACCTGCAGGACGGCGTCTTCCTTGTCCACGCTGGGCTACTTCGAACTCTCGACGGGGGCTATGCGCATGTTGGCGTCGTGCAGCGCGGATCTCAGCTGGGTCACCAAACCTCATCGGCCTGTCCAACTGCGGCTAGCGGCAAGAGGCTCCAAGGTCAGGTATCTGACCCTCGTGGGACGACCGCGGCTCACCTCGCAAGTCGTCAACGGTTTTTTCTGTTTATAAAAAAGAGGACAGCTGGTAGATCGAGCGGAGCTTCGCGACAAAGGCCTTGAGGATGGCCAAGGAGAAGAAGACCACGGTGGCATGGCGCTTTCTCTCCAAAGCATGGGGTCGGTGGGCGGTTCGTGCTGCGGAACATATCGGACACCTCACAAGCGCGGAAGTACGCGCTCACTCATATGCGCGAGCCCTCCAGCCGCAGTGGGTTGAGAAGGAGCACGAGAGCGTCACGGAGACGGAGCTGCAGGCCATCGCTGACGGATGGAAGTGGCGTCAAGACAGTTTGCAAGGGCTGGTGGCTGCGCATGAAGGCGGTCGCAATGCAGCTCGGCATCAAGTTTTCCAGGATGAGGTGCAGGGCTTCCTAGGGATGGACTACATTGGCCAGAACCTGAGCGCGAGGCTGGATGCCTCCGCCCAGCAGGGAAGGAGGCTACTCCAACACTCCCGCTGCAAGGGCGACCTCACCAGCCTCGTTGAGGATTTCGACGAGGACATCAATTTCGCGATGCAGCAGGCCAACAAGGATTCCAACGGACGCTGGAAGGAGTGGTGCGACGGTGCGTGCGCGGGGGGAGCTGGCAAGTTCCATCGACCCAACAAGGTCCGCAAAGTTCAGGCACCCACGACGGCCAATGACGCGGAGCACGGCATCACTGGCCACCCGCACTACGTCGTCAAGAACATGGAGGACAAGCACGCAAAATTATGGAGGGCTGCGACGGAAGCCCCACAGGCCTGGATCCCCGACCGCTCCACCTTGCAGCGACGGGCTCCAGCTGAGCTCCGCCACGCAGCAGGCACCTTCAGCGTCGGGGCCTCCAGCAGCCATGACGGGCTCCACCCGACCCACCTCCAACACCTCCTTGATGACGCGCTCGAGGGACTGTGAGACATTATGCTCGCATGTGAGGCGCTCGGGCTCTCCCCTGCGCAACTTACGTGGACGGTGATGCCGATGCCCCCCAAAGCGCCTGGAGGACACCGGTTGGTCATGATGCACTCGATGGCGCGCCGAGTGTGGCAGCGCCAGCGGAAGCCCGCCCTACGTCAACTACAGAAGTCTCTGTGGCGACCGTACTGGGAAGCTGCGAAGAACAGGAGCGCGATCGACAGCGCGTGGATCCTGGCCGCGGACGCGGAGCAGAATGCGGAAAGAGGCGCCACGCCATCACCATCGTCGCCACCAACAACAAGTATTACGAGACGATATCCCTGGAGGGGGCCCGCGACATGCCCCAGCGCCTGGGGATGCCGATGCCGATCACCAAGGATATTTTAAACCAATGGCGAGGACCCCGCGTCATTCGTCCTCGTCAGCATCATGGCTCCCAACCTCGAAACGCGCGAGATGGGCCACCAGCAGGCGACGGCCACGCAGACGTGGTCATCGAGGCGCGCGCCCTGGAGCAGTATGACCTCTACGTGACGCTCCATCCCCTGGTCCGTTTCTCGTCCCACATCGATGACACCTCTCCCGGCCTCAACAGCGCCGCCAAGGAAGGAGTGATAGAGCAGGCGGTCCAGGCGGGACAGGGTTTCCTCAGCACAGCGCGACACATAGGTGCCCGCCTCAATGAGGAGCTCGCGGTAGTCGCCAGCTCTGCGGACATAGGAAAGACTCTCGCGCGGCGACTGGGTCTCCCAGAAGATTTGCACCAACGAAGGGCCACCTACTTGAGCACCAGCTATTCTGGGGCCAGACGACCGGCAGCCAAGCGCACCAGGGCCAATCATTGGGACAGACTACGGATTTACCGACTTCGATCGCGCAAGCTAGGGCGCTATCGGCGACGCCCACCAGGGCGACGGACGGCGCGGACGGGCAAGATCTACCGTGCAGGAGCACGGCCAGCAGCTACCTACGGCGCGGAGATCAATGGTCTTTCAGATACGGCGCTGCACAGGCTACGCGCCAAAGTTGGGCGGTTTGCCAGCCCTGCCATGGCGGAGTCTCAGCTGCCATGAAGATTGCGCTCCTGGGAGATCCCACAATAACTACTGCCATGGCACCTGCGCTACAATGGTCGCGGGTGATCTGGTTAGCGACATCGCTGCCGCAGCGTGCTCCAGTCCCGCTGGCCCTACTTACTACGTGGTGGTGACGAGCAGTCGACGAGCCAGGATCGCACAGCACTTGGGGGCACACGCGAGGCCCCCTGCAGAGAGCAGCCCTATCGATTGCAAGGGCGGGCTGGAGCCCAGTGTCAAGCATCCTGTGGCGTATCCACCGCGGCGACGACGTGCACGTGGATCAACTTGCGCCAGGGCTGCTTTTCATGATGCTGCAGGAGGGCGCTCAGTGTCAGCGCGAGAAGGCCTTGGCCAGCAAGATTGTTCTCGGCGAAGGCACGCGGATGACATTTGACGTCCTCGAGCCGCTCATCTCCTCCAAGAGCAAGCGGCGCACGGCCCACCAGAAGTTCGGCATCATGAATGTGGCGCGCAACTGAGTGTGGACGCAGCTTCGCGCACATCAAGCGGGGCGCCGCACCGAGGGGCCAAGCCGATGCGGAGCTCAGGACACCCTACTTCATCGCCTACTCGAACGTACTCGACCTAAAGTTCTGCAGGCCCGAGAAGACGCTGAGGCCCCTGCTCACATACTGGAGCAACTTCGGGGGCATGGGGATGATCCTGGGTTCATTCAAGGGGCATTCGCCTATCAGTCCTCCTCGGCCCCGCCGCTGGATCCAGGGCTGAGCTGTGTCATCCTAGATGGCCGAGGTCTAGACAGCTGCGCCGCGCCAGAGTCAATGGCGCGGAGCTACCTGCGCAAGGATGATGGCGGCATGGAGGCGGCGAGCGACGGGTCCTGCACCAAGCCGTCTGCGCGGAAATTCCAACGTGCAGGATGGAGCATCGCTGCCCTCGGCCCGCGATCAAGCACCCCGCTCTGCTCTATCCATGCGCCTGTTCCAGCATCCCCAACGCAGTCCTCGGCGGCGCGTGCGGGGGGGGGGGGGGGGGGGGGGGGGGGGCACCTCGGCGCGGCCTGCGTGTCCCAGATCGCTGACCGCCCCTGCCAGGTCCACGCCGACTTCACGGGGGTCATCAAGCTGGCAACAAGGGGAAGGAGCAGCAGCTCGTCAGCAAGACGTCATACGCGTGCGTAGCCCGATTCGCGCAGTCGCTTGAGGGTTCCCAGCGCGTCCAGCAATGCCACCGTGTGAAGGCGCACAGGTCAGGCACTGACTACGAGGCGATGGGCTACGAGCAGCGTCGGCTCACTGATGACAACAAAGTTGTTGATGTTAGGGCAAAGACGGCGACATCCATGCACCCGAGGCCTGATGACGCCATGGCCGAGGCCATGGAGACGGCCGTCAGCAGGATAGGCAAAGTCGCAAGGCTGGTGGCGAACGTGATTCCGATCTTCGATAAGGGCGGCCAGCTGACATGGACGAGGCGAACCCAGCACATCGGCGCGCGGCTGGCACGCGCAAGTCTACCTGGCATCAATGGCATGATGGCGAGCTTGGGGCACAGTGCCGTGCTTGCCTACAATTAAATGTCCCAGGAGCCCCACTCCCATTGACGGGGCGCGGGGGCACCCCGATCTTCCTCAAGGAGTTCCAGCTCAACCCGCGAGGTCACGAGCTAGTGGCGGTCAACCAGTGCGGGACACGGCTTGGAGACAGCATCGGGAGCGCCAAGACTGTCTTCATCTGCGTAAGGTGTCGAGCCTGGGTCCAGCAACGGCGTCGTCTTAAACTGCGACTTCCCTGCGTTGCGGTCACAACCAAGGGCCTGGAGGTCTTGCAGAATCTCAAGAAGGGAGTAGGGTCGCACACAACTTTGCAGAAGTTCATCGACTCCACCTCCCCGCTCAAAAGAGTCAGGACCGACACGGTCACCAGCTGCACCTACACGAAAGCCGACATCCTCAAGGACGGCGACGTGGTGCAGGAAGACCACCGCACATTCGAGCACAGGATGGCGGCCTTGCACCAGCAGGTACGTGAGCGAGAGAGTCAATTGCGTGCTGCACGTGAAGAAGGCAACACCATGTTCGGACATGCGCTGAAACGAGGGGATCTACCTGAACAGCACAGGGCGCCTGCAGGATCAGTACGCAAGCATGTTCGCGAAGGTGGAGGCGCCCTCCAGCGAGAGATGCTGGAGGAAACGGGCGCCCATCACGCACTGAGGCACAGCCGTGAGAACCTACCAGAGGTGCAGCCCATGGGCAGCCAGCGCGACGACAACGGGGATTAGCGGAACTCCCTGCGCGGCTACTCCCTCGACAGGGCACCTCCCAGCCAAGGACGGAAGCCGACTAACAAAGGTGATGGTGCCCTCCAGCGAGAGGTGCTGGCACGCTCTGCAGCACAGCCGCGAGAGCCTACTAAAGGTGCCCCCATGGGCAGCCAGCGCGATGACAACGGCGACCAGCGGGACCCCTTGCGCGGCTACTCCCTCGACAATGCACCTCCCAGCCAAAGACGGACGCCGACTGACGAAGGTGGGCTGGCGGATGCTGCCCTTAATGATGCCCCTTTCCCAAGAGGCGCGCCCTCTGAGGCTACGGATCCCGTTCCCGCGGGCTGGGGGTGTCAACGCGACCACCCACCTGGACCAGGCGCGTTTCTGGCCGAGGGGGCTGGAGGGCGCGGGGGGATGCAAGAGAGTCAGCCTTCTCTCCCCCCACAGCAGGCGCAGGAGGCAATGCCGCAACCTCTGCGCGGACGAGAAGCCGGTCAACGACCAGGAGAAGCACTTCGAGCAGTGCCAGTGAAGGATCTCGATGAAAGTCCTGGTGAAGATTGGCGACTCGTTGGCGGAGAGGGAGTTCCAGTTGGCTTGATGCGAAGGCCCTGCGGCCTCAGGCCTTCTTCCAACGTGAGGAGAGGTTCGCGGAAAGTCAGAACCAACTTTTGCTGGGTGCCTGGGATCCCCAAGCGGAGATCGAGGACGCGGAGATGATGGAGCTAGCGCCCTGCCGAGCACTCAGGAGGGGTTCGGGGAGGCACGCCAGAGCGGGCCCCGAGTTCGGGCGGAGCCAGGCAGCTCGCGGCCCGAGCGGCAGGGCCAGGAGCACAGTGGCGTCGGCGCGGCGCCCACGCGCTCAGGAGACCCCTCCTGCAGCGAGCCCGTGGGGGCGGGGGGCACAAGTGGTGTTTCCTGGCGAACAGCCACCCCGCCCCCCACCAGCGGCCGCGCAGGAGGCGAGAGGCCCCAGACGTTCAGATGGGCATTCGTTCGAGGCGAACTCCAGGGGGATGGAGTTCAAGAGGCTCGTCGCCATGGCGACGGGGAGCTCGAGGGCGAGGATTTCGACGTCGTGAGGCCCCTCGACGAGGTCGCGCCAGTCATGTGATGAGGGGGCTGGGCGGGCGCCCGAACCTCGACCTCCGAGGACCGCGATATCGATATCGATATCCTCAGCCTCCTCTGACTCCTGCTCTTCCGCCTCCTCCTCCTCCTTCTCCTCCTCGTCCTCCTCCTCGTCCTCCTCCTATTCCTTCTCCTCCTCCTCCTCCTCCCCCTCCTCCGTTTCCTCCGTCTCCTCCCCCTCCTCCTTTTCCTCCTCCTCCTCCTCCTCTTCTTCTTCTTTTTCTTCTTATTATTCTTCTTATTATTCTTCTTATTCTTCTTCTTCTTATTATTAGTATTATTATCATTATTATTACTACTATTATTCTTATTATTTTTCTTCTTCTTCCTCCTCATCCTCCTCCTCCTTCTTCTCCTCCTCCTCCTCCTCCTCCTCCTGCTCCTGCTCCTCCTCCTCCTCCTCCTCCTCCTCCTCCTCCTCCCTCCACCGCCCGGCCCATGCCGCGAGCTTGTGGCATGGTCATCAGCTCGCCGTTGTCGTTTTGTCGTCGTGGTCGTCGTCGTCGTCGTCGTCGTTCTGGGTCGGCGGCGCAAGCCGTCACGCCTTCACAATAAATCCATGCGGGCCACTCGCGCGCGTCGGCCGCGCGCGCATGTCGAGCTCCTTCAACAATCTGCATCGTCAACGCGAGGACATCGTCATCACCGGCGTGATCAACAGCGGCAATGTTAATGGCGTTGCCGACGTCATCGTCATCATCGTCACTATCATCGCTACTGTCATAAGAGTGCCTACCGCTATCGGCGTCTCCATGATACCGCATTCGCCTAAGTGACAGACTCGTACTGAAGTGCCCGCCGGAAGTTGCCCAGCGGTCAACGCCACCGCGGCCGCGTCGATCGCGCCAAACTCGCCAGCCGTTGGGCGCACGAGCATGCGAAGGCTAGCGCGGCCGCAGAGATGCACCAAGCAACGCCAAGCAGTCCTCACAATCGCCGCCGCATGGGATTTGCAAACGAATTTGCGGGTGGGTGGGTGGGATGATTCGGTGATCTGAGAAATTGACAACCCGAGATCTTGCCGAAAAATAAAATTGCACATATTCTATTGTTCATAAATGAATAGGATCTACCCCCCCACCAGACTTATGCCCCCCTGGGAATGTGAAATTTAGATCTGATTCTGCGCCATCGCCATCCGAAATATGGGTTCCTATTTCCCCAGGCGGGCAAGTACCCCCCTCATCCTGCGCAGAAGATATTGTGCGCGCGCGCTCGTTCATCAACAATCAGTAGTTCCAGAGACTCTCTTACAAAACAAACGACGTGTACACGCGCGCGTCGTCGCGCGCGCATGTCGAAATCCTCGAAACATTTAGATTTTCGCAGGGATGTCAAAATCGAATTCCACGAACAAATGAAACCAATGTGTTTTCGCAACAAGCATGTTCAAAAACCCTGCGCTCGCGCTCTTTCAGATTCTCATGTAAGAAATCACTGTTTCGACACGTTCATCGCATGCTACGAAGCGGTTCTTTCGCGCGCGCACGCCGAAATCGCAAGAACGCCCTCGCGCGCGTGCTGTCGCAAGAACCGGTTTGCAACGCATGGGGCGATGTGCGCGCGCGCATGCGGAAACCCGCAGGAAACTTGAAGCTTCGCGCGCATCCCAAAAACAAGCGCCACGGACACACACACACACACACACACACACACACACACACAATAAACACATGGTTTTGCAACATCCGTGTTCAACAAAAGCCTGCGCGCGCGCCCACGCGAATTCTTCAGGGCCAAAAAAACTATAGGCTTGTCAACGTAATTACCAAGGACTAGCAAAAGGACCTCTCGTGCCGCGTGCTGAACTCATCCGAGCGCCAGTCTGAGCGCCCTTGCACGCGCGCTGGGGAGGGGGGGGGGGGGGCGGGCGCGACCCGTGTCAACAACAAAAACACCATGCGGGCCACTCGCGCGCGTCGGCCGCGCGCGCGCGTCGAACTCCCTCCGCTACCTTCATCGCCGAGGCGAGGACGCCGTCATCGTTATCGGGGGGCGCGGTCAAAGTCGGCGCCGCCATTGGCCTTGCCGTCGTCATCGCCACCATCGTCACCATCTTCGGCACTTTTATTATCGCGTCTACAGTTGTCTGCGTCGCCATGATGCCGCGCCCGTCCCAATTCTCGACTCGCACTGAAGCGCCCGCTGAGATGTGCCCGCTGAAGCGCCACCGCGGCCGCGTCGGCCGAGCCGCGCTTGCTGGCCGCTGCGCGCGCGAGCACGCGCGGGCCGGCGCGGCCGCAGAAATGCACCAGCCAACGCCGCGCTCTCATCGCAATCGCACGCGCATGAATTTTGCAAACCATGTCGCGGGCGGGTGGGCGGGGCGATTGCGCGAGCGGCGGAGTTGGCAACGCGCTGCGAGCATAGGCGAACACCGCGCAAGCCTCACAGCGAGACTTGCACGAGATAAAGTGGGCAACGTATTGCGCGCAGCATGCACTGCGCCGGGTAGATTGCGCCGCATTGATTCTCCTTTCTGAACGGAGATCAAGATCAACCCCCCTCCCCCCGGGACTTAGCGGCCCTCCTTCGCGCGTTGCGTCGCGCGCGTGATCCTGCGCCATCGCCCATCCAAAATGTCACTGTCACTCACATCGTCCCAGCCAGGACGGCGTGCCCCGCGCCCTCGTGCCCTGCAAAATTTAAGCGCGCACTCGTTCAACAAAACTCATCAGTTGTCCAAATCCCCTTGCAGAACACTGGCGACATGCACGCTGGAACGTCGTCGCGCACGCGAACCGGAATCCTTCGCGCAGCCGACCCGTCTCGAGGATTTCAAAGCCGAGTGCCCCGAGAACAAGCACACGTGGTTTTGCGATGAGAATTTGCCAGGCATAAACTGCGCCCGCGCGCGTCTGCCGCGCGCGCGTCGCACCGCCCCGTGACCTTTATCGCCGACGCGAGGACGTCGTCATCGTTATCGGCAGGCGCGATCAAAGTCGGCGCCGTCATTGGCCTGGCCGTCGTCATCGCCACCGTCGCCACCGTCGCCGCTACTCTCATCATCGCGTCTACAGGCGTTTGCTTCGCCATGATACCGCGCCCGCCCAAGTCGCCGACTCGCACTGAAGTGCGGGCTGGGAATTGCCCGGCGGTCGGCGCCACCGCGGCCGCGCCGGCCGCGCTGTGCTAGCTGGCCGCCGGGCGCGCGAGCGCTCGCGGGCTAGCGCGGCCGCAGGGATGCACCGATCAGCGCCGTCGCAATCGCCGTCGCATTCGCTTTACAGACCAACTCGGTGGCGGGCGGATGGGACGCTTGCGCGAGCAGTAGGATTGACGCCTTAAGATTCGGCAGGGTGGATTGCACCGCGTGCGTTGCGCCGCCTAGATTGGGCAATACAGATCGCGCGACATAATTTGCACGACGTAGATGGCAACGCAAAAATTGCACAACATGGGTCGCACAACAAAGAGTGCACATGATGAGTTGCACAATATACGCAGCAGCGCGTATCCTCGGTAACATATATCACACGACCTACACAAAGCCAGAGATTATTGCGCAACATTGATCGCACGGAAATGCTTCTCCGCTATACAGGAAGAGTTGGGATCTGCCGCCCCTCCCTTGGACTTATCGCCTCCATCGGGGGATGTGCCATTTACGTGCGAATCCGCCCCGTGCCCCGTCTCTCATTTTCCGTGCGAACTCGCGCCATCCCACCCAGGCTGGGCACGACGCCCCCCCAAAACATATTTTCGTTCAATGACACTATGCGCGCGCATGTTTACCACGAGTCAACAATTGTCAAAATCCGCCGACCCCTTGTGGGTCTCTAGGCGTGTGAGATAGTTCCCCCCCCTATAGTCCCCCCCCCCCGGGGCCCCAAACCGGCGATTTGACCCCCCCCCCCCGGGCCCGGGACGAGCGCCCCGGGCCCGGGACGAGCGCCCCCCCCGGGCCCGGGACGAGCGCCGCCGGGGCTTTTCCGGGCCCCAGGAAGCCTCAAGACGGGCCAAGATGGCCCCAAGAGGCCTTCAAGACGGCCCACGGGAGCCCCGAGACGCCAAACGAGCGCTCCCAGACGCCCAAGATGGCTCAAAGACGGGCTAAGAGGCCTCCAAGACGGCCCAAGAGGTCCCCAAGAGGCCCCAAGAGGCCTCCAAGATGCGTCCCACGAGGGTCCCTAGACGCAAAAATTTGCCCATTCCCTTCGTAAAACGTATATTTTTCACGAATTCGCTTTTTGGGCTTTCGGACGCTCCCAGACGGCCCAAGAGGCCCTAAATACCGCCCCAAGACGGTCCAAGCAGCCTCCAGGGAAGCTCCAAGGCAGCCCAAGAGAGCCCCAAGACAGCCCAAGAGGCGCCCAAGATTGCCCAAGAGGGCCCCGAAGACGGCCCCAAGAGCGCTCCAGGAGCGCTTCAAGTGGCCTCCAAGAGAGCTCAATATGGTCA